GGCAAGTGCCCCAGCTATTATAACTGTGTGAATTCACTGTATGGTGTGAGTGGCTGCCAAGCTGCAGGGGCACTGGGTGCCATTCCTGGGAGCGGCAGTGTAGCAGGACTAGTGGGGGAGTCTAGCCCCATCAGCCCCATGCAGTGAGCCACACTCCAGCATCCTCATTATCCACACAGTTCAAAAGGCAGTCCTGAGCGGTCCGTCACGTCCCACAAAAGGCTGTATCGATTGGTCTGTCGGAGCATTTCCCGGGGTCCTTTATATCTCCCTGCCTCGTCGTCAGTAATGAAGAGGCCGAGCGCAGGGAGAGTCAGCAGACTCCCAGCTTCTGGGATTTCTTCATCTTCTCATCAGGATTTTAATTAGACACGTCCGAGAGGGCAGCACCGTGTGAGGGCGGGTGGGAGCTTTATCAAGCAGGCCACATCTTTAATTACTGTTTACTGACAGATAACAAGGGAGGGGAGGTGGCAGCAGAGATGGTTGTAGGGGGAAGCAGGGAAAGGACGGCAGTCCCCAGAGTGTGCACTCAGCAAAGAAGGCCTTTGCTAGGGATCGAGTGGAAATTGTTCCCCCCCCCATCCTGCCATGCTGTTTACCTGTTGCCAGAGTGAGAAAGGTTCCCCTTGCCCCTTTCCTAGGGGGCAGAAGATAGATCTGAAAGGTGTTAAGTGGTAAGGGCCAGAGACACAAGAAATGAAAAGTATAAGTTTGGTTAGAGAAAAATGAGAGAACTGTCTCCTTTAAGCTGCCAGGATCCTCAGCTGAGCTGTCCTGTGCCTTCCCAGCCTTGGGCAGCCCTGTGGGTTTTCTAACGCTGCACAGTAGGAAGAAAAATTATTTCCTTCTCCTCCTGTCTGGAATTGGCAGCCCTCCTCTCTCCCACTGCCACCATTGCTGTTTTGTCCAAAACAAACCTTCTTCCATCTTTCCATGTGTCCTCAGCATTCGTGGTATGAGACCAGTCTGCTCTGCGGCTGCTGCTGTCACAGACTTCCTCCCTGCTCTCTCATGGGCCAGCTCTCCACCTGGTGTGAATCATATCTTAGAATCATAGAATCATTAAGGTTGATTCTTAACCCAACACGCAACATGCCCACTAAACCATGTCCCTAAGCACCTCATCTACACGTCTTTTAAATCCCTCCAGGGATGGGGACTCAACCACTTCCCTGGGCAGCCTCTTCCAATGTTCAACCACTCTTTCAGTAAAGACATTTTTCCTCATGTCCAATCTAAACCTCCCCTGCCGCAACTTGAGGCCATTTCCTCTCGTCCCATCGCTTGTTACTGGGAAGAAGAGACCGACACCCACCTCGCTACAACCTCCTTTCAGGTAGTTGTAGAGAGCGATGAGGTCTCCCCTCAGCCTCCTCTTCTCCAGTCTCAACAACTCCAGTTCCCTCAGCCGCTCCTCATAAGACTTGTTCTCCAGACCCCTCACCAGCTTCGTTGCCCTTCTCTGGACACGCTCCAGCACCTCAATGTCCTTCTTGTAGTGAGGGGCCCAAAACTGAACACAGTATTTGAGGTGCGGCCTCACCAGTGCCGAGTACAGGGGCACAATCACATCCCTACTCCTGCTGGCCACACTATTTCTGATACAGGCCAGGATGCCATTGGCCTTCTCGGCTGCCTGGGCACACTGCCGGCTCATGTTCAGCCGGCTGTCAACCAGCACCCCCAGGTCCTTTTCCGCCAGGCAGCTTTCCAGCCACTCTTCCCCAAGCCTGTAGCGCTGCATGGGGTTGTTGTGGCTGAAGGGCAGGACCCGGCACTTGGCCTTGTTGAACCTCATACAGTTGGCCTTAGCCCATCGATCCAGCCTGTCCAGATCCCTCTGTAAAGCCTTCCTACCCTCAAGCAGATCAACACTCCCGCCCAACTTGATGTCGTCTGCAAACTTACTGAGGGTGCACTCGATCCCCTCATCCAGATCATTGATAAAGATATTGAACAAGACCGGCCCCAAAACTGAGCCCTGGGGAACACCGCTCGTGACCGACTGCCAACTGGATTTAACTCCATTCACCACAACTCTCTGGGCCTGGCCGTCCAGCCAGTTTTTTACCCAGCAAAGAGTACACCTGTCTAAGCCGTGAGCTGCCAGCTTCTCTAGGAGAATGCTGTGGGCCAGCAGCATCCCTTTTCTGTCTGGCCCCAGAATCCACATCTCCCTCCAGCTTTTGTCTCCTTCCCCTTAAGGTGCTTTTTGGACACCATTTGTAACCCAGCTGCTGTGTCCTGCTGGATCATATCCCTGTTTTTAATTTTGTGGAGCTGCATCCAGATTGGTTTGTGTTATCGCAGGGGAATGCTGTTCACAGTCCCCACCAAACCAAGTGGTTGGGCCAGACTGCCGTGGTGGATCACTGCTCCCTGGCTCAGCCAGCCCTTTGAGACATGGGATGCCTGCAGTGGAGTGCAGCAATTGGTGTCCACATGGCAGTCCTTTGGTGAACTGAGCTCAGCAGCCTGTCGCTCTCCAGAAATTTGCTCTGAAGTTCATGCCACAGTCTTGGCTGTGTTTGTATCCACTGTAAGGTAGTCTGATGCTTCCAAAATACTGTTGCCATCCCAGCATGGAAGATGGCCTGTGCCAGAGCTTGCTTTCCCCTGGTGCCAACAGACTCCCACTGCTCTGAGCAGAACAAGATTTGGAGGATGTGCTTGGGATCAGCAAGGACTCAGAAATTGGACTGTTGTTCTTTCATTTTGCTACGCAGTAGCGAGCAGATTATAGAGCCCACACGTTATAGATTTCCTGTCGTCCCTCATGAATCAAGCTCCACTGTCTTATTTACTGTTGGCCAAGGCCTGTGAATAACATCACCGAGGGATACACTCTCACGCAGTTGTGCAAACACACAGTACAGAGCAGTTGTATGCACCTTTGAGCTGCCAGTTCACCTTCCCCCATCACACCACCTATGGTAGAGAATGGCCCTCTGTTTCCTATCTGCACAGAATGGCTCCTGGCTTCCCTGGGAGCTCACAGTTTGTAACACTGGAGGCAAATCTGTATTATCTGAATAATATTAAGTAAGTCCCACATTTTTAACTTTATGACATTTCTAGTTACAACTCTGGCCATTTTGTACACTCTTATACCCACATGCACAAAGGATGCGGACTTCCAGTTTCCTGGGAGCTGTTTCATATGAAATCTGGCAGGTCTTCGTTGCTTGTCAGTGAGAAAAGATTGGTTTGTGCTCAAGGCACAGCACTGGAAGTCAGGACCATGGGCACAGCTCTCGGCTTCATCGAGGACAGCTAAGAAATTTTGCTGCTCTAGCTAGTAGTGTAGTGAATGTAATAGATCATAGCCTTGATTTATCAGAAGATATTATCTCAAGTTTCCCAAAATTTCAGCTCAAGATTTTGAAAGAGCATGAGAAATTGAATCCAGCTGGCAGATTTGCCTCAGTGAAGGGCTAGCACTCTTTTTTTTTTTTTTTTTTTTTTTTTGTAGCTGCAGTGAGGCGTTACTACTGAATCACTTGGAGTCTCCTAGAAGTGAAGGGAAATTTGGTTTGTCTACCGCAGGCTAGCCTGCTAGCTGCAACCTTGTTCCTTGTTGTAGGTGTTTGTAAAAAAATCTGTGGCCTTCCAAGCGATAAGCTTGGAGACCCAGGGATGAAGTTAGAGGGACTGAGGTGCTAACTTGTTTCTGTTAGGCAGGTTAATATTTCTGTCGTGGAAATCTAGATATTAGGCAATGTCTGGGGAATGTGTCTGAATGTGTCTTCAAATAGTAAGAGGCTTTGTCCAAGAGGAAGTGATTAAGCTGTTTGCTATGTCCGTTGTTGATAGAGCTGAAAGTAAATGAGCTTTGATTGCAATGTGGGAGATTTCAGTTTGATGTTACAAACTTGTATTAGCAATGATGCAGGAGCATTAGAACAGACTGCCTGAGAAGGGCTGAAAGTTTTTCCAGAACAGGCTGGAAAAACATCTGTCAAAAATAATGCTGCTATAGCTGATCCTTTGTTGGGATGGAGGGATGCACCAACCACCTGACCTGGTCCTAGCCCTATTTTCTGTGACTCTGTGAAAAGTTAAAACGTGTATAATCTTGTGTCCAGCTGATGCAAGCTTGAGATGGGTGCAGGTTTGTATATCAAATAAGCACTAGTATCTATAAGCTACCAGGATAGTGTACGAAGGAAGTACAGGCACTCCACTTTCCTTCAAAGGCCTGTCATCCAAATGCTAATGTACCCAACCATGGCAAGTCTTAAAAAGAGATGGCAGCAGCACTCTTTCTTGCTTAACCATCTTCCTTAATTTTTATCTTCATTTTCACTGCCATGTACAACAAACAGACTAGCAGCACCATCTTTTTTTACTAGTGCTTCCTGTAAAATTTAGTTTCAGTTGTTCATACCACTGCCAAGCTTTAATCATTGCTGTAAACACTTTCTATGCCTCTGATTGATAGACTTGTTTTGTGGAAATTTTTATCAAAACCAGCAACTATATATATACTTTTTTTTTTTTTTTAAAGAAAAAGTAGGGAGTATGCCATGTTCTTGAATTATGCCTTCCTTCCATTTAAAAACAAATCAAGAAGATTCCTCTTTGCAAAGCTCTAAATCAGCTTGTGTTTTGGAGCCAGACTGCAGGGACAGCTGGGGCTGTGTCGGGGCAGAGGCAGTGTCAGTAAGTGGGGCCACCAAACAGTAACGTATGCCTCTGTGATAGACTTGTTTTGTGGAAATTTTTATCAAAACCAGCAACTATATATATACTTTTTTTTTTAAAGAAAAAGTAGGGAGTATGCCATGTTCTTGAATTATGCCTTCCTTCCATTTAAAAACAAATCAAGAAGATTCCTCTTTGCAAAGCTCTAAATCAGCTTGTGTTTTGGAGCCAGACTGCAGGGACAGCTGGGGCTGTGTCGGGGCAGAGGCAGTGTCAGTAAGTGGGGCCACCAAACAGTAACGGAAAGACAGGGCAAGGGGAGCTGGGCAAAAAGGATGCCATGTTCTTGAATTATGCCTTCCTTCCATTTAAAAACAAATCAAGAAGATTCCTCTTTGCAAAGCTCTAAATCAGCTTGTGTTTTGGAGCCAGACTGCAGGGACAGCTGGGGCTGTGTCGGGGCAGAGGCAGTGTCAGTAAGTGGGGCCACCAAACAGTAACGGAAAGACAGGGCAAGGGGAGCTGGGCAAAAAGGTGAGGAGGAGAAGCAAATAGTTATAAGCAGCTGTTGAACAAGGAGGTTGGGGCTGTGGAGTGTGGGGGAATGGTTTTTGGTTGGGGTGAGCTGAGAGCAAAGGAAAGGGATGGGGTTAGAAGGCAAAGGCAGTGAAGAGAAGAAAGTGGGCTAGGATGGTCTGGAGAGGAGAGAGCAAGCACGACTTGAATTGAATGGTTGGAAGAGCCTCTGAATCATTATTACTCAGCTGTCATCGGTGTCTGAAATTCACCCGGTGTTTCATGCTCCTCATGTTAGTCTTCACAAAGGAGGATGAGCTACCCTTGCAGCCCATTTACTCCATTACCTTGGTTGTAGTGGTCCACATGATGGATTTGTCTCTTCTGATAATCCACAAAAGTGTTCATCGTGATGCTTCATGAGGGAATTGGTTTGCTGTAAAAGAAACTAACTCTGTGAAGAGGGCACTTTGAAGGGTGCTAATGCAAGAACTGGAAGCTGGGGGAAGACCAGTTATACTCTGCGTGCACTTCTGTCTACCCGACTGTATGTCTTATACAACTCATGTTTTAGCTACGTCACTCTGTGCTGTTTCTTCCACAGGACCCCCGCCTCATTCACTGCATGCGATGGACCTGCTCTGAGATAAATCTGAGTTGCACAGTGAAAGAGACCATCTGTAGGACCCCTGCCTCATTTGTCAGGTGTGTACTGAGTGAGACAAGGGACTGCAGGAGAGAAAGGGAAGCTTTTATAGCTGAGGCAGTGAAATCCTGACCTGCCAGTTGACTTTTTTTCTGTGACCATTTCTGTGTGATAGTTCTTAGGTTTTTTGAAGCAGCTGTTGTGCCAGTGGTTGTTTAATTGTGCGTTCCTTATTTTATAGGGGACGTTTTTGATCCCAAAGGACCTGCTTTACAGAAACACTGAGTGCTTACAGCTGCAAATGAAGTGAATGGGAATCCACTGAACCCAAAGTACTATACAAGCACAGATCAGTCAGGCTGTTGGTGTCTCAGACTGGGCACCCAGAATTAGCAAATACCTTTTAATATGGTCTTCAGTCATTCACCCGTAAAATGGGAATAAAAATACCCCCTCCTCTTATAGAGGTGTGTGAAAATAAATGATCTTGGGCTGGTGAAGCTCTTGGACAGTGTAATGATAAGCCCATAGGAAAACACATAAGGAAATGAATAAATCTCTAGAGCCAGGTTTGAATAATGTGTGGTAAATAAGGCCTGGGGCCACATACCGAACAATGAGCAGAAACCAGCATCCCAAATAGCTGCTCATTACATGGGCACAATCCCTTCTGAGTGCAGTCTGAGATGGGGTACTGTGGAAGGAATATGATCGTGTAACTAAGGGCTATAAAATAATGCATATGTACATGAGGGCTAAGAGTATTTCTCACAAGTAAACACAATTGTGGCATTTCCTGATTCTTGAATTCATTTGTAGTCTGCCCTATTTAAGATACAGGTTTTTTGTTTGTCTTTGTTTCACGGGTCCTGTCATGCTTTGCAGACTTATGTGCTGTAAGATGGTGTTTTCCCAGCCTCTCCATTTGGATTAAGTGTTGCCATTTCATGTAGTTGCAGATCAACTAATTGTGGTAGTCAAAACCTGCTCATCTTATATATTATGTATTCCACAAGTTGTAATCTCCACTGAGGTGCAGATTTGTGTGAGGGAGAAAGGCAGATCTGACCCTGTAATTTGCCATCACGAGTAAAACTGACACCCAGATGCTGCTGTTCTTAACGGTGAAGGAATTGGGGATATTTGAGATCTTACAACCTGCTAGCAGCAATTAAAATAATAAAAACCCCAGTAATTTTCCCATGCAGCAAATATGCAAGAGAGGAGAATGTCACTAGGGCTATGAAATGACTTTAAAAGTCTTTGCTATAATGGGTGGAGGAAGAATGGCAAAGCTTAAGCTCCTAGCGAAAGTATGCAGAAATGTAATGCTCAAAATACCTAATTTTAAATAACCACATTTTTGATGGCTGATTATGTGCATGTTTAGGAATGAATATATAATGACTGTAATGGTAATGGAGTAGTATTAGAATCTATCAAGTTGAGAAGTTGAGTGTTAATGGCGCTGGATCAGTGTCCAAACCTAATGCTGGTTAACCTTTCCATGGCATGTCTGGTATTTGCTATAATTCCAAGGGAGAATGTTATGAATAGTACAAGAAGTGGAGCTGTGACACGTACCCCTGACATTTTGTTTGTAGGAAGTAGAATTGTCTATTGCAAATGTCTAAGAAACATACCATAAAATCTTTTTCTCTTATATTTTCCCCTTCTGTTCCCCATTGACAATCTCAAATACTGGAAGAAGAATTCATTGGCCTATTTAGGCTGTAGAATGTGATGCCTCTCTCAAGGATGACTAGTATCACTGTTGGGCAGTTGATGACTTGGAAAGTACTGGTTCCCACAAGTGCTGCAGATAATGGTTTGTTCTGGAAATGAAGTAAGCCAAACCTATCAAACACATTTTAATCTGTGTAAGAGACTGAATGAGTGTCCTTTGTGCAGTGGTTTAACTGCTCAGTTTTAACAGTTTCATCAGACAAATGTATTGTATGGTTTAAAGAGGACAGAACAAAAAGTGATGCCAGAGTACCCAAGCGCAGGAACTCTGACAAAAGTCCCCTCAGGCAGGGCCTGGCACTACTGGCCAAAGGAGAGAGGAAAGGACAATTAAAAAAATACAACAATCTGTTCTTGTAGTGGTCAGACAGCAAGATGCAGCACGTGTGCTGGGTGGGAGCCATCAATGAGAGCTGGTTTCCCCATGGGATATGCAGACTTGGACTATCAAAGTAAGCTGGGGCTGGGACAAACAGATGTTATGCCAGACACGTCAGCAGAGCTAGTCTGTTTTGCATAGGTGCCTGATCTTACTTGGCATGTTTTAAACTCTTTCTTTTCTGAATCTCAGGGTGCAATATAACCATTATGATTTAATCCTAAGTGCTCTGTTCTCCACATATGATGCAGCTCTGGGGTACTACTTCTAACCTACACAAATGGGAAGCCGAGGCACAAGGTGGCGTGTTGCCAGGTGCACAGCAACCTCAGCCACACGCCTCTGCTTCCCTTCGATGAGAGAAGGAAGAGAGGCTGTGGGGGCACTGCATTACCAAAGTGAACAGTCTTTCCCTACAGGTGTCTTATTGACAGAGTTAGGTAGTTTTAGTGCCCCAAAACTGATGTTTGAAAACACCATCCTGAGGCATCTCTGCACAGCAGGCACTCTGCCCTCTGGAAAACCAGCTTAGGACAGAGTGGGGAAAATGAACCTGAACATATGGGCTAGTGGCCCCCACACCACTGTGGCAGTGCAGGGGTAAGGTCAGGCCTTGGCATTGCAAAAACTGCATGTGACTGGAGGGTGTGATCCTAACCGTGCTCAGGGGCCCGCAAGTCAGTCTCACTCTTTACAGACCTGCCAAGTGGAAAATGTTTATTTGCTGCTCTGGATCCACGATCTAGGAGAAAAGAATAAAAGTGATTTAACGTCCAATGTGAGGAAAATCACCTGACTGAGCAGGATGCAGAGGACAAATGGGACAGAGGGCCTTACCTTGCCTGGCCAGGAGGGATGGGGAAACAGAGGTGAGGCACAGGATCAGATTCGTTAATTATTATTTGTTATTAATTTTCTAATTTTTCCCTTGCTTGGATTCCACAATTGCTGGAAATAAAGGCTCCTCTAGCTCTCTGGGTGCATCTGTGACATTGACTCTGTCTTTGAGATGGGGAGCACCCTCTGGTGGTTAAGGATAATCTGACATTTCCTGGGATTGGCACCCATCATCCCCACAAGCTGCCAGTTAAGGTGGGTGGGAGGCAATGCTGGCTTTCTGTCACTGCTGGGATGGGTGTTTGCGGCACAAACACTCTCTCTGACTTTCTAGCCCAGGAATCTGTGTTGACCCCTTGGGAAGCCTTTTTGCCCTGTGAAAAAGGGCGCAAGGTGTGTGTGTTCTCCCTGCCCTGCTGTTGGGCAAAAGCTCACGTTCAGCCCCTTCTTGCTTTCTCCTGGTGAGACGGCAAGTAAAGCTCAGTTTGCTTCATTAGTTCCCAGTGGACACAAAATCCGGCCCTGTCTCTCTCCCTAGGGACTGCTGTTCCCTGCCTCTGCTCTTGCTCCTGTCTCCCAAAAGCACTAGTCTTGCTCCTAGAGCTCTCCGCAGTCCAGCTCTGGCTGGATTTGCTCTGCCTAGGTGCTAAAGCCAGCACAGTACAGTCCCTTGCAGGGAGCACAGGAATTCAGCTCAGGTTTCCCTTCTCCTTCCCTAAGTGGATTAACAGGCTGAGGGGATCGTCTCTGCCTGCCTGACTCAATCTTCATTAGCTAACATGTTTCGCCAGCCGCAGTCACATCCTGGTCTGGAGAGCTGTTTGACAGGAGCGGATTCTGGCCCCAGCCTCCCACAAAGGCTGTTGCGTCTTCTGAGAGTGTTTTCTTGATAGCAAGGCTCTGTGGGCTGCCCTCGGTGGTAGGGATGTAGGGCAGGAGCACTGCAAGATGTGCATCCTTGCTCTATGCAGTGCTCGCTTTACAATAACTAATATGCATCCTCTGCTGACTGAGAGACCTGCACCCCTATGTAATGCACATGCTGTACAAGTGTCAGAAAATGTTCTGTGTCTCTGCAGGTGCACCCACGTTTGGTTTTTTCCCCTCATGTTTTCCAGCCAAGGGAGTATCCTGATTATATTGGGACGTCCCTGAAACTTTTGTTAGTTGGTTGTCACTTTTGGATGCCCTTTCTTGGGTGCTTGTACATAGTCAGTTTGAATGCAGTATTTCCTAACAAGCTGTGTGCAAGCAACTGACCCTATCTCCTCAGCCCCTTCTCCTCCCTGCTGCTTTGTGGTAGTCATTAACGGGTGTTGCACCCTTGCACAAGCAGTCATTTATTTTACAAGTGGTGCTGTTTCCTCAGTCCAGAGAAGATTGTTTTCTACACAAGGAAGCTGTACACTTTAAATTGCACCGATTTTAAAACAATCCATTTAAACTACTGAAAATCCAAACTGTGGATGCTCTCCTGCCAGTTTGAGGATGCTTCATTTTTGCTCATTAGATGTCTAAACAGGTTTAGTTTCAATAGTAATAAGTACCTTTTTCACCAGCTTAAGTTAATCTATTTAAAATCGTACCTTGAATAATACTGCAGTAACATTCTCATGCAAAGAAAGCCTGCGAGGAGAGGAGGTGAACACTGGGCATCACTAATACCAAATGCCATTGGGGGACCCCTATGCCCAGCAGTATGGAGGCATTTGATATCTGTGCAGAGGTCTGAGCATACCTTAGCAGGAAGAAGAGGCCTTCTCCTGGCTGTCAAATGCATGTAAGTGGGTGCAGATTAAGCCTTGTATTTCTGCAAAACTAAGACTCTGTGAAAGCACAGAGCATGCTACAGAAATTATTGTGACTGAAAAATCTCAATGGGAAGCGTTTCACAAGGAAGCAAATGTTCTTTAGTTTTTGTAACCTGACCATTGCGGCGGGGGAAGTTGGTGTGCCAGGCTCTGAAAGCAAGGTTGACTAGCCAGGAACAGAATCAAAATGGACTTTTTTTCTTTTGACAAGTTGGAAGGGAAATAAAAAAGGCAAATGAGCATGAAGGGGCAAAGGACACTGCAGACTCTGGAGGATTTTAGAACA